TGCCTTTGGAAGCTTCGTGTTGATTATATTGAAACAAAATTAAAATTTCGAAAAGACATGTATAGTGCATTCAAAGAGTTTGTTTGGAAAGCTATGTAATTGTTGTAGACTTTATACATGGTAGCCCTCGAAATTCTCCTCAAAATATTAGGTGGGTCCAAAAGTTCGTGCCGTTTTTCAAACCCATGCTCTAACACTGAGAGTAATGGTGGACAAATGATCCAAACAGTGTTCGATGCAGAATTTTTTCCTTTTTCTAGCAGTTACGTTTTTGTTCAGGCCCCTTCAATGTCCGCTCAAAGAACGGTCAAAATTTTTCACCCCATAGTTTTCAGCTATCCTAAGTTTAGGTATTTTTCAAATTTCTTTTTGTATCTTTTGGACTAGCTTTGATAACGGTTATTTAAAATAAACAAAATGCGATATAGTGAACTATTTTAATCTTTTCAATTGGCTTTGCAGTATTTTCAAAATAATTTTCTCAAAAGTTACTTTTTCGAAGTCGTGAAATACACAACCGCTTCAAACACTGATAAATCCTCGGAATTTAAAGCTTCCAGAAACAGCTTATGATTCGTCGTTAATTTTAGCAAGCAACTGAGCGTTTAGCGGTTCAAAATAATGGATTTCGAAATTAGGTACAGCTTGGGAGCAGTCTGGAAACAAGAATTATACTGATTTTTTCGTCAAATATTTTTCAAATCAGGAAGGAAAGAAATCTATCAGAAAGAGCAGAAAAAGCTGCATCAAATGAGTTAGTTGCTGGCCGTTTGTTATTCTTTGAGGACTGGGCCCAAATATGGAATTTTAGAGCGTCAGAAAAATATATTCGAAAAATTTGAGAAGCCAGTTAGAGTTGCCAAAAAATGCATCATATTGCATTATGTTTATTCTATCCAATTGCTATCAAAGCTAGTCCAGAAGTTGAAAACAGCAGTTTTGAAAAACAGCCAAACTTAGGACGGGGAAAACCATGGGTGATGACTATTCGAGGGAGGTCAAAGGGATCTGAATGAAAATATTATGTTGTCGGATAATTTCTGTTACATTTTTTATTTTAATTCTTAAAAATCTCAGAAGCTTTGAAAAGATCTCATGTTCACGGTGTATGGGCAGGGTCAAAACGCCTATACAAGGGTACCGTCGCATCCGCGATCCCTGCGCAAAACACTCACTTTGTGGCTAAAAATCCGTTTCTTCCCATTTTTGTAAATGAGTTGGCGTTCTCTCAGGTGATGGCCGATAGACCGGACAATGTGGTAATCAGGTAGGGCATAGACTGTAACGTTTAGCTAATACGGGGGGATAACGCAGACATGTCTGCACCCGTTTTTCTGAGCGTTTACTGAAGTCTCAGTGTGCGCCGTCTTTGCAATCATCGGAGTTTTTACGAAGAAAACGTCTTCAAAAAATTTCAAAAAATCATTCTTATGTTTTCTGTATTCATTTCTATACGATGCACATAAAAAGAAGAATTTAGGAAAGTTTTTGAATTTTTCGATATTTTTTACCCCTTGTTTTCAAAACACTAAAGGCACCGGAATGCGTCCATGTCCAAGAGACAATGCCAAAATAAGTTCTAGAAAAATTCTGGAGAGGGAAAGGTGCAAGTGCAGAGAAAAAGATCAGACAAAAACTGAAAAATTTGACTGCTTTTACAAAACTGCCGTAAACTTGCTGGTCATTAGTGCACTTGTGGAATCAATCATGCTGGTGGGTAGACCCTGCTATGTCCTAAGCGTGTTGCAGATTTGGGGTTTTCAGAAAACTTTTGGTATTTTCTAGAAATTTTAGAAAAAAGTGTAACAGAAATTATCCGACAACCTAATATTACTGCTAGAAAGAGAAGGAAATTCTACACGAACACTGTTTACTCCAATTGTCTATCGTTATTCTAAGTGGTCTGAGCATGGGCCCGGACAACGGCACGAACTTTGGGACCCACCTAAAAAATTATTTTGGAATATCGAAAAATGTTATGGGAGCATTTCATCTATATGTATCAGTGGCGTACCCAGGATTTCAGCTCGGGGGGGGGGGGGGGGGCGCGACAAAAATTTTTTTCTAAAGAAGGTGCGTGGCGTTAGCCACGCACTCCGAAAAAATTTTTGGGGTGCTTCTCAAACCTTTTGCGGGTCCCCGACCCCTAAAATCTGGAAAAAGGGGGCATGGCGTTAGCCACGCCCCCGAAAAATTTTTTTTACAAGGCTAATTTGATTTTTTAAAATTTTTAAAAACTATTTTAATTATTTACAAAAAATAAACAAGTCACTTGCACATTTTTATAGCCCATATAAGTAACTTTCAAAAATTTCGCGACCCATTCTCGGGGGGGGGGGGCGCGCCCCCCCCCCCCCCCCCCCCGCCCCCCCCCCCTCGGTACGCCACTGATATGTATGTATCTGGATGTATGCGTCTAGCCTTTCCCCTGCTACCAGTGGCGTACCGAGGGGGGGGCGGGGGGGGGGGGGGCGCCCCCCCCCCCGAGAATGGGTCGCGAAATTTTTGAAAGTTACTTACATGAGTCATAAAAATGTGCAAAAGACTTATTTATACTTGTAAGTAATTAAAATAATTTTTAAACATTTTTAAAAATTCAATTTAGCCTTATAAAAAAATTTTTGACGACGCCACGCCCCCTTTTTCTGAAATTTCGGGGTCCTGAGCCCCTGAAAATTTCAGGAAGCATACCAAAAATTTTTTCGGAGTGCGTGGCTGACGCCACGCACCTTCATCGAAAAAATTTTTTTGTCGCCCCCCCCCCCCCGAGCCGAAATCCTGGGTACGCCACTGCCTGCTACTGTACTAGGTGTGTGGTCTATTGGTTATCTGCTATGTTTTCTGCTCTTTTTTTGGCGCACTTCTAAGTGCATTCAAATGAAAATAAATCAAATGTATGGACAAACAGACATACGCTTTTGTTATTTTGATTTCAGTCTTCTGCTGAGACAATCGTACCCACTGTTTAAGAGAGCACTCTATGACTTTGATGCCGCACTTTTCAATTCAAAACATTTTTTGCGTCCTGAGCACGACGAATTATCTCATGCTGATAAATTTTCTAAATACAGAATAAACAGCATTCGATGGTGGCTATGATTTTTCTCGATTAGGTATTCCTCTCTGGAAATAATGTCTGGATTTGTTCAAAAAGCAAATTAGGTGATTGATGTTCTGCCATTAAATGATGATCTCCAATATCCCTGACAACAATCTGCCCCAAGACTAATGTGCAGCCTTGATTCCATCAATGTCTTCATAACTTCCTTTCTCTTTTTGCTTGGTATTTTTTTCAGTCAGTATTCGTTAAGACATCCACAAATTACAAAGATTTACACTGATCTGAGATTTCATCAATAGAAATCAGTTTTATTTGTAGCAGTTTGATACAGATAGGACTTGAATTTTTGGTCACTTCGGTGCTTGCTTTTGGATCACCTTTATTGTTTTTTTTTGTCTAGTGCAAAAATTTTTGCCTCTCTTCCTTGAAGCTGTCATGTGGCAGAAAATAATTGACGGTTGAGTAGGAACCGCATCAACTGACTTATGCACTGAATCAATAAATTATCAACTCCATCAATCTGAAAAATCCAATATGTTTTTGATCCATCTTCGATTTCAATTATAATCAATCAGAAATATGGAAAACTTGGACATGTGACACAATGTAATGTTATCGTGATTGTTGCTCGGAATTATCTGAAGAAATAAGATCTGAATCAGAGTGTCCTTGATTGCTAGTGATCAAAATATAATGAAAGGCTAGAGAAACTAATAACATGAAGCAATTTTTTTCTCTCGATAATGAAAATTGCATAGCAAAGTTTACCAATACTGGTAGTGGAATGGAACCAGTTCCAGACTTGGACTATGCAGGAATTACCACCTGAATGAACAACTTCCACAGCAGCTTTAGGTTTGATTTCGTGGTGCCATGTGGCAATGGTAGACGAAAATGCTCCCCTTCACATTTATAAAACCCATAGAGGTGAGCACAATGCTTTGATAATTTCTTACACGGTTTGTTGAGCTCATTCCATTACATTCATCGGAGCTTATAAGTCCTTCTCTTCTAGTTGCTGAACAGATGAGGAAGCTTGTTGTCTACTCGACGACGCATTTCAATCTGAGACGGTTGGCCCGGGTTCGTTTCCTGCGAGCCCTCTAGCTTGAGCCACTCAGACAATTGGAAACTCTCAGCGGGCAGCCACAAAGCCGCCACCAATCCCCACCAAAAGCCCCCGCGCCTTATCGCTGCCACTGTGGATGCCCGCTGAATGCCATGTGGCTTCCACATCACTGCCGCTTCATAGCGGCCCGCTGACTGCCAGTTAAAGCAGCCCGCTCAATGCCATCTAAAGGATCCCGCCCACTGCCGCTTATAATAGCCCGCTCAATGCCATTTAAAGTAGCCCGCCCACTGCCGCTTATATTAGCCCGCTCAGTGCCGCTTACCGCACTCTCTCCTTTTCGGGATCCACTACTCCTTCTGTACTTGCACTATAAACAAGCTGGGCATCATCTTTTATTAATCAATTGCCCGAAAGAATGCGAAACTTCCAGTAATTTAGTATAATGCAATAAGCCACATAACAATAACTCAACGAGGAACAGATACGGAGGAAAGAAACCAACTCAAAAGATCATTTAGAGTGTCTTGATACACGTACACGTAACGATACCTCAACAGCGAACAAGATAAAGATGAACGAAATGAGCTTACATTAATTGCCAACCTATACTGCAACATAACAGGTAACAGCAAATTAACAGAGAACACGATGCAGATAAACCAGATAAAGTCAAAATGCAAGATCAAGGCATTGAGGAGAAATGAAGATGTCCATGCGGGAAGAGGTTTGAGGTGTTCTGCTCCAAACAAAATAATTAGGACTAACCATTTGACGGTTTTGCAATGCATACCTTAATCGATTCGACAGCTTACTCAAGCGACAATGCGAGGTATGCCTGGTTTTGGTTCTGCAGTTCTCTGAGTTCCATCACTGGGTTAGTTTCTGGTGCTGTTCTTCTTCTTTTCTGGAAATAAACTGAGTCGCTTTTTGCAGGATTATAAGAGATCAAGAATTTTTCGACAACTACTCACCGCGTGACAGCCACTGTTTTTTTTTCCATGTCGTATTCATAAGATCTGATATCCCTCCTGCATAATATTTACTGATTTTTACTTCAACCAAACCTTAGAATATAAAACTCACAAGGCAAGCTGCATCCCTTTTAGTATTTCGGATTTGTATAAATCAAAATCGGCTAACAACTCGTCTAATTTCTTCTGGCGGTCCTTTTCGTTTTCGCCAAGCTCGATGTAGAAGCTGGAAATTTGTGTTTTGATCCTGATAACCATTCTTTCAAAAAAGCTACCGTGTCCTTTCATTTGCCGCTCTTTTTCCAAGCCTCAACTGGGGATCGCCTAACCCGATCAAATCCAAAGCAAAATCTGAAATCGGAGTCAGTGCGATGCTAATGTCTGCACAGTACTTGGTATAAACATCCCTACCCTGGAGTGTCACTTTCACTGCCGCCGGTAAATTTTGCAGGTGCTTTTCCCTCCCAGCCTTGCGATGACACCTTATCGCGTAATCATGGATTTGCTGAGGAGGATCACATTTATTATACCAAATGAACACTATCTGCATGCTCTGAGGCAATTCAAAACAACCATGAAAAGTGGACTCTTTGCTCAACAACTCAAGATTGTTTTCATCTGTCACAATGAATGTCAAAGAGGCCGTGTCTACAGCAACATCAAAAATTGCGAAGAAAATCCCTTCATTTGTTATAATGCATGCACAAGACTTTTGGCGACATCGTGGAAAGCAGTTTTGTTTTCAATGCGTCGCAATACCTACGTAAGGAAGCTCAGATGAAGAGTAAAGGGCAAAGAAGCCAGAGGTACCTGAACCAAACATTTTTCACAGACCGTACTTCTGCTTTTAGACTATCCTCCTATCTGTGAGATTATGAACGAAGCTAAGTAGCGAAAATCTACAGAAATATGGTAAAGTGGATAGCTTGTTAGCGCTGATGAAATCATTAGGTCTGCGTCAACTAAGCATTTGAGAGCTCAGAAATGAGGGGGCAAGGGTTCAGCATTTCAGAAGTTGGCAAACTCGTAAAATTTAATTCCAACAACTTCCTACTTGCTTGAAAGTCTACCGTCGCTTCATTTCATATGATCATGTGTGTCATTGCACACACATTCCACGTGTGGCGTCCTCATCCTGCATTTGCAACAGCAAAAACGCAAGAGAGTTAACGATTGTTTTCGATTACATCAATTTAAGATGATTCGTAGCTAAGAAGGAACGGAAACATTAAGAACACATTGAAAACTGTTGCCTAAAGATTTCTTTCATCCAAGAATCCGACATGTGAACGCCAAACGTGGAATGTATGTGCAGTGACATACATGATCTATGAATTGTCGACTTTGACCTCACTTACAGCGGTCATGCAACTCAATATGTGCATCTGCACAAGACGCACCGCACCACACGACTCACAAGTCAGTAGTTAGTAACATCAGAAATCAGTTCAGAGTTCAGCGCGAGCAATGGAGAGTGAAAAACGTGAGGAAATTGCCCCCTCACTCTAGTTTTGAAGTGATAGATAGCTTGCCAATGCATTTCTCTTCTTTGCTCCAAAAAAGAGAGTGTAAGTTTAAAGAGACAGTTTGAGTCGGAAAATGAGTGCAAAAGCTTTGAGAAAAAACTGTGAATTAGAACTTACCTGCAGCTGGTGATCCTTCATGGAACTTTTCTTGATTTTGAGGTGCTTCTACTCGCATCACGTCACCTCGTTTATCCAAATTAAATTCTTCCCTGTCTGCACTGTCGCGTAAGCGTGAGATGGTCCGTAGCTTCGCATATTCGTGTTCCACCTTGGCATGAAACATTTCTAAACATGATTGGTGATAAGCTGCAAATACTTATAAGCATCGATCTCACTTCTGCATTTTCTTGCTCCGGTGTCTTCGTATCGGGGACGTCTTTTGAGAGCCATAGAAACATGCCCAGAAGTTACTTGCAAAATTTCGACACCAGTTTGAAATTAGCGATTGGGGAAGAAAGCGTCGATCGCTTCTGAAATGATATCGTTCGTGTGGATGATGACATCAAAAGGTTACTGAGTACAAAGTAAAGGTCGACGAGCATGTGAAAGCAATTAGTGGAATTGGTAAGACAAGTCATTAGGGTAGGCGCCGACTAAGCGAGTATCTTATTCAACTTGGGGTCCCGCGCAGAATTAACGTCATTTGGCGTCTCGCTGGCGGGAAATCAAAGCGGAGTCTCCCGCAATGATATATTTTTCTATATACTGCGATGATGAGGAGTAGAGAAGAGAGAAAGAGTGAGTAAGAGAGAAAGAGAGACAGAGACAGAGAGAAAGAGGGAGGTCTACACTCTAATATTTCGACAGTTGCAACAGTCTCGCGTAACTGCTTTTACCTTACCGTATTTGATCCGCTCCAATAGTCGGTACGAGCTATATAACACAAAAGCTCAGAAGCCCAAAAGCGCCCGAAAAAACCTAAAAGCGGCCAAAAAAGCCCAAAAGCGCCCAAAGAAGCCGGAACGCCCCCTTTTGCGCGCAAGTTTTGGCGGTAGGAAATGTGTATTGATCTAGCAATCAAGTCATTTTGCTTCATTTACTATCGTCCGCACATCAAAATAATGTCGGGATTCTACCAAAAGTGATGATTATGAAGCAAGAGCAAGGACGCACGACCATCTTTTCAATGAGTCATCGTACAACTGATGGTGCTATCGCGCTTCCGTATCTCAAGGGCCGAGCATACTTTACGCGATTTCAGTCGCGACGCGATTTGGCAATTCGCCAGAACTCTTCAGATGCAACACTAGCAAACTGCACATGCATGGGGTGTATGACTTAAGTGGGTTGATAAAATACGCTATCTTTTGTACATTCAAATTGTGCCTACAATGAGTTACGGACAGCTGAGATATTGCCAAACCGCGTCGCGAATGAAATCGCGTGAAGTGTGCCCGGCCCCTTGTGCAACAACCATCAAAAGCAAACGAAAGTTATGGTAACTCACAAAAACACGAACTAAGCTTCAATCTTCAATGTCCTCAAAGTTCAAACAATTCAAACTGGAGAAAGTACGGCACCCAATGTCGTGGAGAGGACATATACAGAGAAGAAGCTAACAAAAGAAGTTCTCTCCACACTACACACCACGATCTCATCATAAGAGAATAGTGGTGCCATATTTGCTAAGCGATATCCTGAATGCAATAGAGAGAGAGAAGATCTGTGGGAAAGCAAATGAGATACATACAAGGATGAAACTAAGACGATAAGCTCGGATACTGACGGACGCACAGGAAGAATCAATGACTAATGACGCCGTGCTCTTTCTTGCAAAAGACACGTATCTACATGTGCACAGATGAGCACTGCACAAATCAATCGATACCAGTCAGATACATGTTATCGGTGCCCGCTCATAGCATCTTCGCGACCCGCTCACAAAAACCTTGCTTTCGCAACCCCATCGCTTCCTGGTCGTTGCCAACTAGCTGTTATCGCTGCCTTGTCGTCGCATTCTGGGTGCTTTTGTAGCAATAACGCTCTCTGTAGTTATTTTCTGACTCACGGAAGATTATGGCAGCCCGCTGATTGCCTGTGGCTGCCCGCTCGCTACTTTTTCCGAGTTATCCCCACCCGCCCACTGCAACTGCTTGCTATCGCTGGCCGCTGAGAGTTTCCAATTGTCTGAGCAGTCGACGCGTTTGCAACGTGTCTGAGAGCGTTTTCCCAGACCCGTCAACAATTTACGCGGAATACGGTATATCTCGCTTTTCAAGCTTGTGGCCGCATGTTGCTAACATGTTAATCATGCGTGCATGTCAGAGACGCAGAACAAGGTTAACAGTAATCATGGAGTGGATAGCAGATAAATACTAGTATCATTCACCGACTTAGGCCTCTACTAGAGTTTACGCAGTTTTGCCTCGGGATTCTCCAAATTAGACAACGTTAGTCGAGTAGATTTTCCGCTTAATATAGTGTGCTTGCATTGAAGGCGAGATGCGGTAAAATTTGCGCGTGAACAAATGGCTACGCCTATGACGCCGACCAATTGCGCGCGCAAAATGCTGGCATTATTGGCGTAGCTACTTGTTCACGCGCAACTCTTGCCGCAGAACTGCTCGCACACTATAAGCTAATCAAACAGTAGTTACCGTCGCAGTCATGCGAAGACGCATGAAAAAGTTAAAAGGTGAGAAGTCGTCATGGAGAACACCTCATCCAGAGCGCATTTTTTAAAAAGTCTCCTGAATATTTGTGTTAGTAGAGACCACCACAAACGGGTCTAAGACAGGATTTTCGAAGATTTTGGACTCAGGTTACTGTAGAAGCTGTCCAAACAAAGTTCAAGGAGGGGGTTCAGAAGTTTCCAAGTACGCTATTCGAGTGAATATATGAGTGGTTTGCAATAGTAAATTTGATCGTTTCCATAAAATTGCACTGTGTCACCTAACAGAGTCAAGATCTTTGGCAGAACAGCCACGAAAATGTAAGGTTTTTGGGTAAAACAGCAGCAGACAAGTTTAGGATATCATCGGTCCTTCGTTCCTTATCATTTTTTCTTTCTCATTCGTCAACACATATTTGAGCTTCTATATCTTGAACGATTGAAACATCAGTGAAACCAAAAACATCAATCAATACAGGAGTGATCGAATGTTTCTGACAGCGGCGATATTTTGCCGACACAAGAAAGCATTATGGCATTTCCACGCTGTTTTCTGACGGTTGTGTCTTTTCTGAAAGGTGAGCCTTCAGTTGAAACAATAGAAATTAGCTCAAATATAGTCCATTTTCTGATAGTCGAGGATCACCTTCCCCTTCTTTAGCAGATGTATGCATTTTTTTAGTTTTAATCCTCAGAAATCCATTCGTATTATCATAACAGTTTGACTATCCGAGCTGTTTTGAACCACATATGAACTGAATATCTGAATCTGCAGTTTAGACTCCTGAAGAGCTACCGCGATGTCCCGTGTTCCGTATGACAATCAAGTCACCAGTAATATTACTGCATAGAAATTACCTTAGATTTCGTTTATACAAAATGGTGCACGAAAGCACGGTTATCAATGTGTGAAACTACAGGCTTTGATTCCAAATAACCCACCCGATTTTTGATTTTTTCTACTCCATTCAATCCGGTTTGATTCTAGACCTGTTGAATTTTGACAACAAGCCAGGACTCTTTCGCAACATCCACTTCTTGGCTGCGTGCCAGAGATTGGTTTCTTAGAGAACGGGTTTGACTTACTTATCCTGAGGAGATTATGTAGCGATCGATGAGCATACCGGCCGTCAGTATTAAGTTCTTCTTTCTGTTTATATCCTCAAAATTCTAAAACTGTATTTAGCCAAAGTACAGAAACGTCATTGAGCTTTAAATCGTGTTAATCCTGCAAGAGTTTGAGGAAACCAAATTAGCCTTAGTTGACTGTGGGGTGTAAGTTTTGGGCTGATTATAGTCGAATACTGCCGTGATCGCCCCCGTCCCTCCCTCTAGCCTGGCGCTGTGCTTGAGGAGCAGAAGTTTGAAAGCGGCGATCTCTTCCATGGAATATGATAATGACTGAAGCAAAAGCCTCGCTAATTCTACGCATTTGAAGGCAGTGGTTCGGAAAATTGCGATGCGAGCTTTTCACACCACCATAACCCTCTGGATCCGCTGAGTCCGAGGCTATGCTCAAAAGTCAAAAAAGTGCTTTTTCAGCCTTTTCCAGCTTCGAGATTGCTGAGGAGGCTGAGCGAGCGAAATACAGCGACTGTCTGCAGGAGACGGTAACTCCACCCATTTTGGGGCAATTGGCTGATTGGCTCAGGCAGCCAATCACTCGGTGAGAGATCACTCGCCCATGGAAAAGGAAGTTAAAGAAGGCTCGCAATTGCAGTCTTTCCTAGCCACTGCCTCTGATTTTTTTCATCAGTATCTCACTGAGCTTACATTCTTACAAGTGAACCTTTATGTTTTTCGAAGAAGGGGAACCTATGAAAGTTGTCATCACAAGGCAGTAAATGTCGTCAATAGGTCGACACATTTTTAGTCTGTCATTGTTTATGTTTACAACAATTTTGATAGTTTTTTACTTGACAAATTAGCAAAACACAATCGATCTCTCCATTTCCTCCGTTTCTGCGGTAGCAGTGTTACATTGTTCTCCTTGATAGCTTTTGTGAGGTCGTCAACATATTCTGTGCTCTGATCTTCTCTTTAGCTTTGTCCTCAGCCGCTTGTCTAGGCAGTTTTATCTAACAACTACATGGCTTTTCTTCAGTTCCTTTTATCGCTTCTTTTGATCCTTCCAATCCTTCCTCCTTTGAGAGGTTTTTCCTCCAAAACATTCAAGGTTTCTTTGGATAAAGTTTCTTTGGATACTTTCTTTAAAAGCGGAAACTTTCTTCACTTTTGCTTCTTCACTCTCACGGCTGTTGTGTTTTTGCTTCAGCTGATGGCTCCTCCGTATCTGGGAACAAGCATAAGACACCAAGTTTTTAGTAGTAAAGTCAAAGGTAATTTCCACGTACGTGTTTAGATAAAGGGATTTTGAGGTGGTTAGGGTGTGTAGCTAAGTATATAATTACCCAAATCTTGCTGCAAATGATCAATCATGGGAAGTTCAACTCAGAAAGGAAATGCTGCGCTGACTGCTTTGCCTCACAATCCGGTGGTCTCCGGGTGCTGAGTCCAATTTGACCAAATAGCAAAAATCCTGTTGTTGTGAACTCGACTTCAAACAAATTGGAACCTGCTTTTAGAAAAAACACCGTGGATCGCTCACGGTGTGCGCATTAGTGCTAGTTCGAAGCCCTAGCTGTTGTTTTGATGGTGATTGAGAAAGTTTGAACTTCTCCGGATGCTACCTCTAACAAGGAAAGGGAATTTAAGGTCTATTTCAATTTAATGACCTTCCACAGCGAGAGAATGGGCTGGTATGAAATTTCCGAGATTTTTTTTGAAGTTGGGTCTTCTAGGTTTTTAGAGTTGTTTACATCTGAAGCTTCTGGCTGTTCTAACTTTTTCTTTACTGACTCCGACGTTGAACATTTGTATTGGGAATCACGATAAGAATGGCGGAAATGGATTTCCCGAACATCAACTCTCACGGCCTCTCCGAATAAGACCCATACTGTCCTGAAAAGCATCGAACGCTGATCCCAATTCTTTTCTCGGTATCTGCCAAGCCTCTACACGTCGAATTATTAGGGTCTTGGGGTAAGAAATTGAACGCGCGGAACTATCTGGAATAACCCTGACTACCGCAGTAGTCGAGAGTCCGTTCGAAAAACGTGCATTCCGAACCGAAAAGATCGCTTCGGACAAAACTAAAAACAAGCGGGCATTATTCCGATCCCGCCTCCTATCGGTGGGCGTTCCTCTAATCCCGCCCATCCGTGCGCGCTTGTTCATTCAATTGCCGCATCAAAATCCGCGTGGCCAATTTGCGAAACGTGAGAATTGTCGAGGTCTTCGCAGATTCTCGACTTCTCGAAATCAGAGACATGAGAAGGCCTCGGACTCACAACAAGACCGATGTTCCTTTATCGCTTTTTCGATAACAATGTATATTTTGCGCATTATCGCTTTTTCGATAACAATGTATATTTTGCGCAATATCAATAGCGATTTGATCGAACATTATTTCTAGAGACACAGAATGTTTGTCGCGCAGAAACCGAATTCTTTTCATAGAAATGAAATGCTAGGTGCAGAAATATTAGGTCAGTTTAAAAATTCTTTCCGTTTCTTCAACTCATCTTAAAAACACGTGGGATAAAGCTAGACAAATGCTCTAAGCACTATCGGGCGTAGTTTTCTTTCTCTTCCCACAAGTCATGTTTTGGGACCAGGATCAAGCAAGGGGTGTGGCACACGATTGCTGGTTACGACCCCACCCCCCTGATTGCTGTCTCAATAAGACCCCCCCCCCTAAACTATACACTTAAGATAGCATTACTTGAAGGCCCTGCCAAACATAATGGGCAACATATCCATAATTAGTATGTCAAATAACCCCTGTAGACAAAGTCTGAGCGAATTCTAAAGATTCAAGATACTAGGCTACCTAAGTGAAATGGTCATATTCTAACATGGTTAACTTTGTTTCAAAGGTGAATTAGTTATCCATTTTTGCACTCAAGACAAAGCACGACTCCTTCCTTGTTCACCTCAGAAATGCCGCTTCAGAAGACCTCCAAATTGTGGAATTAGAAGCCAACCAAAATCTCGTTTTTCCCATTTTTCGCTTTTGATCGCTGTGCTTTCACCAAATATTACTCAGAGCTAAGAAGAAGAATCAGGCTCCAAACAGTCCTATGGAATCTACAAGGTTTAGACTATCGATTCATATAAATATTGTCCGCTAAAAATGTTTTTTTTATATAGTTAATGGGGTGCGGCACACCCCCTTAAAAGCTGCGGCCGCCGCAGCTTTTAAGGGGGTGTGCCGCACCGCATTAACTATATCATAAAAACATTTTTAGCAAATCATATTTATATGGATCGATAGCATAGATCTCCTAGTTTTCACAGGAGTGATTTGAGCCTGATTCGTTTTCTTTGCTCTGAGTAATATTTGGTGAAAGCACAGCCATTAAAAGCGAAAAATGGGGAAAATGAGATTTTGGTTGGCTTCTAATTCCACAGTTTGGAGGTCTTTTGAAGCGGGATTTCTGAGATGGACAAAGAAGGAGTAGTGTTTTGTCTTGAGTGCAAAACGCACAGCTAATTCATCTTTGAAACAAACTTAACCATGTTGGAATTTGACCAATTCACTTAGGTAGCCGAGTATCTTGAATCTTCAGAATTCGCTCACGCTTTGTCTACAGGGGTAATTTGACAATCTAATTATGGATAGTATACGAATACCATGTTATCACTTTTATCAGATTACCCAACTACGACCCCCTCCCTTTTTCAGTCCTCAATACGACCCCCAGGTGTGGCGTGCCGCACCCCACGCTTGACCCTGCTTGGGACCATTTGCTTTGTTGGTTTCTGACGTAATTGCCGAAATTTCAAGTCCATGGTTTTTACCATGCTCAACTTTGGCAATTTTTGGAAATCTTCATTTTGTATTTATAGAGTAGCTTTGTTAACAGTTAGATAGCGTAAACAAAGTGCAACGCAATGCAGTTCTTAGTATTTCTTTAGGATGACTTTTCCAAAGTCTTCATATTTTTGCGAAGTCGCAAAATACGCAAAAGCTCCAAGCACTAACAAACGTCAGAATCTGAAACTTGCAAAGATTGATTATGATAGCATACTAACTTCGCAAAGCATCAGAATGTTTGCCGCTTCGAAATATCAAGTCTCGCATTCTGCGGGTACAGCATAAGGTCGGTTTCAAAATCAGGAATTTGATAATTTTGTCGCCGAATACTCCACGAATTGAGAAAGAAAAAGTCCTAACAGAAGGAAGAGAAACTGCATCGAATGACACCTTAGTTGTATACCGTTTGATCTGTGAGTTTTTGGACGGTTAAAAGTGGAATTTGATAGCCTCAGAAATATAATTTTGAAAATTTTGGAAAACCAGCTATTGGGGCCTAAAAATCTCACTGCATTGCACTTTGTTTACGCCTAAGTACTATCAAAGCTTTTCCAAAAGTTCAAAATAAGGGTTTTGAAAATTGCCAACGTTGGGCATAGTAAAATGGGGTTGAAATTTCGGCAATTATCTCAGACTATCAAAGCAAATGGCCTCAAACATCGCTGGTGGAAAGAGGAGGGAAAACTATGTCCGATAGTG